CTGGAGCAAATTGTTTTTTTTTTTTCGAAGTGTATGCCAACCTGCGGCAGAGGTTGCCACGGTGAACACATATATCACTGCGTCTTTAAATGCAGTCTAGCGCCATAAAGATTGTGTGTATGAGTTTAATATATGAACACAACTCACGAAGCAACGCTTTATTCGCCGACCTGTACCCGCCCCACTTTACTGGGGAGGTGAGGGATACAGATTCGAGGTAGTAACCAGAACAAGGTGATTGGAGAGAAATTTTCTTTAAAAGTTCAAATGCAGTCTAGGGCCATAAAGATTGTATGTATGAGTTTAATACACTATTTAATTCGAGAAACTAATTGCAGTTTTTCGTGTCCACCTCACCTCAGTGTAAGATAACTGCGTACCTGAACATCAGGTCGAGATGGGTAGTTAAACACAATATCCTTCACTTCAATGTTGCCTTTGATTTTTACATCTCGACGGCCTAATTTGCTTGACGAGTCTATTTCAGGTTCCTACATTAAATGATAGAATGAATCTGAGATAGCTTTTATCCAGATTTAGCCACCAACCCTATCGAGAACCTCGTAGATACTGGCAGCAGCACCTTGAGCTGCTCCCAAAACAGCAAACTGTGGGCCAGCTTGTCCCAAAGCGAGTGAACCCATCATTACAGAAAAGAAAGTCTAAAAGCATAAATTGCCGTAGTCCAAACTTAAAAACTAAATAGTGACCAACCGTCAGCAGATCTTGCAATTGAATTTGACCGTCGACAGCCCAAGTGATCCCAACGTAGAAAGCTAATGCGAACGATGAAAAATTCACCAATCCCATACAGCAAAATGAAATGCCAACAAACAAGTTTTTAAGGATACCAGCACGGCGGGCTTCTAGGAGAGCTACTTTGTACCTGAATTTCATTGGTTAAACAATCAGAGCAAGAAAGAGAGAAGGGAAAGAACTTAGTGGAGAGACTGGTTCAAAAGCGCTACAAAATGCTTATTTTAAACTCAACTTATGCTCACCTGCCTATTTCAAAAGGTAGTCCGTTTAATGCACAAACTGTGCGGATGGACGAGATAGCTTGTTCGACAATTTTTCCAGCTTTCGCATATTTTA